CCACTGAAGAAGGAAATGGCAACCCACTCCAGTACCCTTGCCAGGAAAACCCCATGGACAGTACCAAAAGGCAAACAGATATGACGCCAGAAGATGAGCCCCTCAGGTTGGAAAGTGTCCAATGTGCTACTGGGTAAGAGCAGCAGGCTAGTACTAGTAGCTCCAGAAAGAATGAAGCAACGGGGTCAAAGCCGAAAGGACACTCAGTTGCAGATGTATCTGGTGGTGAAAGGAAAGTCCAATGCTGTAAAGATCTATACTCCACAGGGACCTGGAATGTAAGATCTATAAATCAAGGTAAGCTGGATGTGGTCAAACGAGATGAAAAGACTGAACATCGACATCTTAGGAATCAGTGAACTAAAATGGACAGGAATGGGTGGATTTAATTCAGATGACCATCAAGTATACTACTGTGGGCAAGAATCCCTCAGAAGAAATGGAGTAGCCTTCATAGTCAATAAAAGAGTAGGAAAAGCAGTACTGGGATACAATCTCCAAAATGACAGAATGATCTCAGTTCGAATCCAAGGCAAACCATTCAACCTCACAGTAGTCCAAGTCTATGCCCCTACCACTGGTGCTAAAGAGGCTGAAGTTGACCTGTTCTATGAAGGCCTACAACACCTTCTAGAACTAACACCAAAGAATGATGTCCTTATCATCATGGGGATTGGAATGCTAAAGTAGGAAGCCAAAAGATAACCGGAATAACAGGCAAGTTTGGCCTTGGAGTACAAAATGCAGCAGGGTATGGGCTGGAAGAATTTTGTCAAGAGAATACGCTGGTCATAGCAAACACTCCTTCCCAACAACCCAAGAGACGACTGTACACATGGACATCACCAGATGATCTACACAGAAATCAGACTGATTATGTGCTCTGCAGCGAAAGATGGAGAAGCTCTACAGAGTCAGTAAAAACTAGACCAGGAACTGACTGTGGCTCAGATCATGAGCTTCTTGTTGCAAAATTCAGACTTAAATTGAAGAAAGTAGGGAAAAGCACTAGGCCACTCAGGTATGACCCAAACCATATCCCTGATGAATATACAGTAGAGGTGACAAATAGATTTAAGGAATTAGATCTGATAGACAGAGTGCCTGAAGAACTATGGACAGAGGTTCGCAACATTGTACAAGAGGCAGCAACTAAAACCATCCCAAAGAAAAAGAAATGCAAGAAAGCAAAATGGCTGTCTGAGGAAGCTTTACAAATAGCTGAGGAAAGAAAGGGAGTGAACGGCAAGGGAGAAAGATACACCCAACTGAATGCAGAATTCCAGAGAATAGCTAGAAGAGATAAGAATGCCTTCTTAAATGAACAGCACAAAGAAATAGGAGGACCAGAAATCTCTACAAGAAAACTAGAGATATGAAAGGAACGTTTCATGCAAAGACGGGCATGATAAAGGACCAAAATGGCAGGGACCTAACAGAGGTAGAAGAGATTAAAAAGAGGTGGCAAGATTACACAAAAGAACTATACAAGAACGGCCCTGATAACCATGATGGGGTGGTCACTGACCTCTAGCCAGACATCCTGGAATGGTAAGTCAAATGGGCCTTGGGAAGTCTGAGCAACAACAAAGCTAGTGGAGGTGACAGCATTCCAGCTGAGCTATTCAAAGTCCTAAAAGAAAATGCAGTAAAAGTGCTATACTCAATATGTCAGCAAATTTGGAAAACTCAGCAGTGGCCACAGGATTGGAAAAGGTCAGTTTACATTCTGATCCCAAATAAGGGCGATGCCAAGGAATGTTCAAACTACTGCACCATTGCACTCATTTCACATGCTAGCAAAGTTATGCTCCAAATCCTACAAGCTAGGCTCCAGCAGTATGTGGACCGAGAACTACCAGAAGTGCAGGAAGGGTTTTGAAGAGGCAGAGGAAATAGAGATCACATTGCCAACATATGCTGGCTCATGGAGAAAGCTAGGGAGTTCCAGAAAAACATCTATTGCTGCTTCACTGGCTATGCTAAAGCCTTTGATTGTTTGGATCACAACAAATTGTGGCAAGTTCTTCAAGAGATGGGAGTACCAGACTATCTTATTTGCCTCTTGAGAAACCTATACACGGGTCAAGAAGCAACAGTGAGAACTGGACATGGAACCACTGATTGGTTCAAATTTGAGAAAGGAGTTTGGCAAGGCTGTATACTGTCGCCCTACCTATTTAACTTATATGCAGAGCACATCATGAGAAAGGCAGGGCTAGATGAATCACCAGTTGGAATTAAGATTGCTGGGAGAAATAGCAACAACCTCAGATATGCAGATGGTACCACTCTCATGGCAGAAAGTGAAGAGGAACTAAAGAGCCTCTTGATGCGGGTGAAAGAGAAAAGTGCAAAAGTTGGCTCTAAACTCAACATTAGGAAAACTAAACTCATGGCATCCGGTCCTCTCACTTCCTGGCAAATAGATGGGGAAGAAATGGAGGTATTGACAGATTTTATTTTCCTGGGCTCCAAGAACACCGCAGACAGGGACTGCAACCAAGAAATTAAAAGACTCTTGCTCCTGGGGAGGAAAGCAATGGCATATCTAGACAGCATACTAAAATTCAGAGACTTCAGCCTGCTGACAAAAGTGCGTATAGTCAAGGCTATGGTTTTCCCAGTTGCAACGTATGGCTATGAAGGCTGGACCATAAGGAAGGCTGAGCGCCAAAGAACTGAGGCCTTTGAATTGTGGTGCTGGAGAAGACTCCTGCGAGTTCCTTGGACTGCAAGGAGATCAAACCAGTCAGTCTTAGAAGAGATCAAGCCTGATTGCTCTTTAGAAGGCCAGATACTGAAGATGAAGCTCAAATAAATACTTTGGCCACCTAATAAGAAGGAAGGACTCCCTGGAGAAGAGCTTAATGCTGGGAACAATAGATGGCAAAAGAAGAAGGGGACAGCAGAGAATGAGGTAGCTAGATGGAGTCTCTGAAGCAGTCAATGTGAGCTTAAGTGGACTCCAGGGGATGGTGGAGGAATGTTGTTCATGGGGTCGGAATGGGTCGGACGCAACTTCGCAATTAACAACAACAACACTTCTCAACCATTACATTTGTGATTATTTTTCAGTCCATTTTTTTAGAATTGTCAGAAAACTGCTGCAACAACAGAAGTGGATGCTCTGAAAAAGCATCTCAAAAAGGGACAGAGCAGCTGAAAAATCCAGGAGATGATGAAAAACTGGAAGGCACAGGGAATTACATTGTTAAATGGGTGATACTGCCACCCTGCTGCACCTTCTTTCCCTATGTTTTGGCTCTTTACCATGGCTTTTCCACTGCCAGCCAGTTACTTGATCCCTTCTAGCAGTGTACAAATTAGCCTATATGGAATCTCATCTTGTACTGGTTAGTCATAAGAGTGCATTTGCACACCTGTGAAGGGCTCACACACATAATTAAAAATGGCCATGTCCAGGAGCTGAAAAAATAAAAATGTGACTGCAAGTACACTTTTTCAGGATTTGGGGAAAAACACTGAGGAAAAAGTGACAGTCCTTCCAAAGTGCTATTTCAGCATTGGTACAAAGATAATTGTTGGCAAGATGGCAAAAGTGAGTAACAGGTTTTAGTGCTCTTACTGAGCATTTCTGTATCAACAACCCATAATAAAATTGTCCTGTTGGGTTTGAAAGACACAACAGCCCATCTAGGTCAAACGAGCCCTAGATCAAACCACAGTTTCTGCCACCATGCAGAAATTACATTGGGCTTGGACAAGCAGACTGTTGTTTTGTTGTTTCAGTCATCTCAGCTCAACCATAAACTTACTGAGTAACCCTGAGGAAATCATTCTCTTGTTGTATTCTTGCTGCATGCAGCATAAAGGTACAACAATGGTCTATCTCACAGGGTTACTGTAAAAACCACTGTGAGATATATGTGAGCATAAAGCTCTTTGTGAGCCTAAAGCAATTAAGTATTTAGGGAAAGGGCTCTGCAAATAAGAAATATGCAGTTTCTTCTTATACTCCTCCAGAAAACTGTTAGCTGAGGGAACAAAAGATAACTATTAATAAAATAAATTTTAGAAAGGAAAGAATTCAGACAACCTTGCCTGAAGCACTAAGGCAGCAAGACTGGAAACACAACAAGCACTTTTCCCAGCACATTTACTTTCACCTTCTCTTCCACACATCAACTGAAAAGATGGAAAGAAGGCAAGACTGCAGGTATAGCAATCCCCACTCTGACTTATATGCCTTGAGCAAAAGTTGAGAATGTTTTGGATAAGTCTGGGCTATGAACTTGGAATCAGGAACCTTGGTGTAATCAGGGTGCCCAATCACAACTTGCAGACCCAACACAACTGAAGACCCATTCACATTTCTGGCCACATGTGCAGATCAACTGGAGCAATCCTTCTCCCTTTCCACATTTGGAGTTGCTTGTGTGTAGCTATCCCCATTGCCATTGTGCATCAACATTTGTGCTACAAATTCAATGTGACTTGCAGCCTATTATATGTAGGTCAGTTCACCCACTGACGGAAGCCCTGCCACCTCGGAGATGGTACATGACAGCTACTTAGCACTGAAGCTTTAGGACCCTTGAGTGCTGGTGTGCAAACAGACAGCAAGTTGTTAAGGCATTCATGGAACCGAAATTAGGCCAGTACATTACAAGTGATGCCTTATCCTTGGCTTTTAGAAGAATGCTGTGAGGTTATTCATGATTTCATTTTCTCATCTGAAAAAGATATTCTACCATGATAATGAAGTACTCGTCTCATATGGGAGGGGGTATGCACCCATACCATGGGTCAGGGGAGGAAACACAACCTACAGAATCCTGGGATTTCCTTTCCAGTTCTCCTATCTGCACACTGATCCATCTTGATCCCGCTCAGCTTGTCAAATGAGAAAGGATCAAAACCCACAAGGTAGACGACTAACGGAGATTCCATTAATTAAATTAAAAACCTCTTTGGCAGCACAGAGCAAAAATGCAGAGCTGTAGCAAGACTTCAAATCCACACATGCAATTTATTACCTGCACCAGGAGTTCCAACTTCCTGTCATCAAGAAGGTGCACTTGACACCGGCGGCCCTCTGTCATCTGGAAAAACACAAAGAAAACGTTTCAGCGGATGCTTAACTCAAAAGCTTGGCAAATGCAGCAAGTTGCTGTTAATGTGCTGAAGCCCTCTCTGCTTCACTGTCATAGCAAAGGATTTCCCATTCCACATTTAGCTCTCCCTGGCACAGGGAGAATGAAAAAGACTGGAAAGAGGAAATAAATAAATAAATCACCCAAACGGCTCTTTATAGAATGGCACACGCTGACTCTGCCTTGCCTCAGCCACAGGAACTGTTCCATGGTGAGAAAGGAGTTCATGAAAGTGACCAGGCTACATGTGAATATACAGAGCATTCATACTACGGGGCCTGTTTTTGTGGCTTTACAGGGGCAAGTGGACAACACCTAAGGATGAACCTAGCTCTGAACTAAAGACCAGGATCACCGTCAAGAGGCTGCAAACAGGAACACGAGGTAGGCTCCTCATGGCTGGCGCTGCTGTCCCTCCCAAGCCCAGGCCACTGCAGGAGGGCTCAGTGGTGAGCACTGGAACCTCGCAGCCCTTCTGCCACAGTTGTTGCACTTCTTCACCACCGCCACTTGCTCTCCAAGGGATGGGAGTGAGCAGAAGCATCATTAGCCATCGCTGACTGCTCGCTTGCTAGCATTCTCCCTCTCCCTCTAGTGGGGACAGGGGCCAGAGCAGAAGGGAGGGGGTGAGAGTGGGGTGGAGGAGCAAGGGGCCCCATAGGAGGCATTATGCCTGCAGGCCTCCTATAAAATAGAACTGGCATTTGGGCCTAGACCTCTAGGAGGTGTGACCACTTACCTTCACACGGTCAAGAACCATATGTACCAAATGGAATCTAAATAAAATTAGTACTTAGGCATTACAGACCACATCTATACCAGAGAGTTCACTAGGGCACCATGTACTAAAGTAGATCCTCTCAAAAGCTACTTAGCACCTTCCACCGACAACCTCAAAACGGCCCATGGTTGTCTGTGGTTTGTTGACTATATCAGCATCTCACTCTAGCAAGGCTCAGAAGTCATGATAATCTGTGGCTTGAATATGCATGCATGGTGGGCTGTGGCAGTCATACAAACAAGGCTAGTGACTTCTCTTGGGGCACCTCTTAACTCAACTTTGTAGCACCACTTGAATTTTGCAAGCAGGTCTTATTTTCAATAATGGTCATCCCATGTACTTTTAGAGTGGTAAATGATGTAAGGTGGTATGGCCTGACAACCTATACAGCATGTGACTCTGCTTGCTGCTTTCTTAGAAGGAGAAAACATGATTTTTCCTATTCAGTTTCTATGAAGTTTTGATTTGGTGAGATTTGTAGCTATGTAGAATTTTAGGATAATACAACTTTTTTCTTTGCTTCAACTGTTACTTGATTCTGATGCACAGAAAATAAAAAGACAGGCTACCTAACAAGATGATTTACAGTAACCTTCCCCAAGCAGGTACCTTCCAGATGTGTTAGGTTATGGCTGGCTGAGGCATGTTGGCAGCTGTAGTCCAAACTGAGGAAGCATGATCTATTAATATTTTAATTATAGCTATACAATGAATTCCTAACATCCAGGCCTGTTTCTGAGAAGAATGTCAGGGCTTCTTTCTGTGTTCTTCTGACGACAAAACACTCTTGTTTCATCTGTGCTGGGGTACTGAATTGCAAATTCAGAGTAAACATTCACATTAGTGGCTCACCTGCACTGGTGCCTTCCAAATTTCTCAGAGAACAGGTCACAAAATCATGCTCTCACTTCTCTTATAGTCAGATAAAGGGACAACTAAACTATTGCTCAGTGAAGAAATCTGCTATAACATTGCAGCATGTATTGGGCTTTAAACTAGCTTAATTATAGGGGTTCTATAAAGTACAATATGAAATACTTGAAAGCCTTCTATTAAAATGGTGGTATTATGACATAAACACTTGAAGAAATAGCCAATAAGGGAGAATAGTTTTCCTCAAAAGGAGGAAAATTCTCCTGTTGCAACAAAAGGAGATGGTTTGAATCTCAAAAGCCATTGTGTGAAATTATTCCAGCTGATTATGGCTGTTAAATTGATGTGCATAGGACACTGTCTTCTTCCAAGCTAATCCATTGGTCCATTTAGCCTGGCACTGTCTGTTCTACTCCAACCAGCAGCAGATTGCATAGGCTAAGGCAGAATGGGCATGAGAATGTTTTTAACTGGTTATGCTGAAGTTGCAGAACTGGCACCCACAAGCACACTTGTTTTACCTTTACTAAAAAGGCACTCCCTCAGGACCACAACATGGGAGGGGGGGGGGGGGGGGGGTTAAAGGGGCTCTTTGTGTCTGGAAGAAACAGCCTTTGGCTCCAGTGGAAACTTCACTCCTGAAGCAAGAAGCTGCCACAGGGAGCAAGGAGCTGGTGGCCCATGGGGCCTGTCATTGGTGAAAGCCCCCTCATTTCATGGGATGGTCCCAGTTTAGATTTGATTTCCACACCTATTTGGTAGACCAAAATAAGCATGCAAAAGACAATTCGTATTGCTGTGCTTTCCCAGAGAGTGATGTTCATTCAGTTCTGCCGAGACCCTGTGGTCAAAAACATTCAATAGCCTTGTATTCATCAGATGTGCTGTACTGCTACATCTATCATCTGGTGATGACAGATGGAATCTTATACATCTGGAGGGCACCAGGTTGAGGAAAGTTAATCTATAGACAATGGCACTTAAACAATCGTCTTGGTCCTCTTGTCACATTCCAGAATCCCACATTGGAACTACCACAAAATGCAAGGACCTGAATGTGAGGAATCAGTCTTCAGTCCTACCTTGCTGGCTGCAGCTGCCACAAATCAAGCCCTACATGACACCATAGCCTGGACCAAGACAACACTGAGATAATCTCAGGAGCTTCTTGTCAAGTGAAGAAGATCCTGGGATTCAAATCCTTTATACACTAGCTTTGTTCATACAACACAACTTAATTTTGTATTTGTAAATCAATGTATTTTTTGTATTGTTATATTTAATGGTAATTTATTATGTACTATTGTATTTCAATGTATTTTATCATGTTGTAAGCCGCCCCGAGGTTTCGGCAAGGGGCGGCATAGAAATGTTAATAATAATAATAATAATAATAATAATAATAACAACAACAACAACAATAATAATGGTTACCATCGTTTGCAATTTTACCAAAGCAACCTGAGAGACAATCAACTGGATTCTACTTTATTGTAGTTTCCATCCTTTCCATTCAGTCCTCCTGCTTTCTGCATGTTTTACATCAGTCACTGTGCCTGAAACTCAGTCCCAAGGCACATCACTTCCCTGGATATGTTCCTGCCTCTTCCTCATTGGTTCACAGATAGTGGTTGAATGGCTGCAGGGACTCCTGCAGTTGCCACTCTGTCCAGAGGACACTGTGGTAGTTGCCTATCAGCTCAATGGAAACCATGTTCCAGGGTTCAGACACAACAAATCATGGTAATACAGAGAAAGTACAGAACAATTTTTTCTTATACTGGTTTCTAAACACTAAACTTACCATATGAACTACCACAACTGGGTTCAGAAACATGACAGACAATGTTGAAATTCCACCATGGCTTGTTGATCTGTGTGAACCCAGACACTAAATCCTCACCCATGGACTGATGGCAAAACAAGGCAACACTTCGTAAGTGACAACATACGTTCTCCCCATCCATACTCCTGACACTAACTAACACTTTCTTTAGGTAAGACATGTTCTTTTGCTATTTGATGACTCTGAACCATTTCCATTCCACATTATGCATGGAAATGGCTGTAAGTTTCCACAGGGCACTCATGCAGAAATGCATGCATACATTCAGCAATAATGGACATTTAAAAAAAATATTTTATGAGTTAGATTAGATATACCTTAGCTATTTTATCTCTCACTTTCTAGAGCTTACAGTGACATGTACATAGCATTCACTTAACCCAAGAGAAAGGAAATTCCCCTTAGAGGAAGTTACTTGGTGACTCCCAGATCTTGGCCTGTTTGCATTAAGGAAGGATTTTCTAGTTACCTCTGACATCAACGAAAAGCTTTAAATCTCATTTACGGACTGCAGGCCCAAATATTTACACAGCGGATTTCTCGGCTAAGGATCACCCAGAGAAGAGGGCAATTGTTTTCACTGCTCCACCAAGCATCTTGGCAGCTTAGTGCCTGACCCATTCATCTTGTCTACAACTCCAAACATGAGCTAGAGGAATCCAAGGAACTGTCTCCAGAGCACTCTGGGAAATGCACTGACAATGCTTAGCAAATCCCCAGCTACAGCTCATCCTACCAGTAAATGCTCCCTAGAGAGAACTATATGTGGAAACTTTTGGATGCAACACACATAAAAGAAAATGCTATGTATGTGTGTATGAATGTATGTGCATACTTTTAAAAAGAAACATTAACAGCTGCAAACAGATCTGTGCAGCCAAGATGCTCTTCAGGAAGTCTGCTGACTGAAATCATCACCCCTGTGAAACATTTCAAATGCATAAAATGCTACTATCAAATTAATATGACAGTTCTATCCCTTTCCCCAACCTGTTTTGCTAACCTGCAAAAGAAAGAGGTTAAATTATCTTGCTTTCTTCCATTTTAGAGCTTATCCAAAACTGGAGTGGCAGAAGGGAAAAAGCTCTACTCTCTGGTGAAAATTATGCTTGCCCTTTCTAAGTTAGGCCAGAAAATACTACTTGCATCCTGAATTGGCTTAATGACAGTTTCATATAGCCAATCCTGATCAACTATGTGGCATTATGGTGTCAATTCATTTACAACTTAATTCCTGATTGCTTGGGATCATGTTGCCAAGAGTAAAATTATTGCTGCTACTGTTTTAAAAAAAGAAGGTGCCAAATCAGAAGCTATTCCCCACGAAGGGTGTTAAGGAACCTTAATTCTTATAATTAATTGGAAGAACAAGACTATAAAGTAAAGGGAAACATCCCTTCCTGCACTTATTTTTGGTCATTCCCTTTGGCCTGCCAGCCCAAAAAAAGA